GACTAGGGAATTGAGACGGCGTTCCGTATCACTCGGAGTACGAAACGCACCTCGTTCCCGTGCCCGGGCTCAACTCCTATTCCGAACCACAATTGCAATATGCATTGACATGCGTGGAATGGCAATTAAGATACCGGCCCGAAGCCATGCACAATGCCTGTAAAATGAGGATGCCTTCGAAATGCGTGCACACGGGCATGCAAAACGCGAGAAAATTGACAGAATGCGATCTAAGAATACAAACCTAGTATGCAACTATGCTGCTAAAAATGAGCATGCCTCGAACATGCGTTGCACGGACGGGCCACGCAAATTTGAGGAAAATGATACTAGAATTGCGATGCAAACGTCATGGAAATATGATATGGCTTACCATACGATGAGAGAGCTCAGCACACCACATAAGAGACCGACGGAATGAAAAATGGTAGTGCCTCGAAACTGCGTGCACACGGGCACGCAAATCGATGGCAATAGCATACCAATGCAATATGCGCTTAAAATTGGCATATAGAATGCAACATGGACTTGATACTAACATGAGAGAGCCTCAGCCTCACTCACATGATTGAGGCCGATTGGATGAAAATAAAGTGTCTCGAAATGCGTACACACGGGCACGCAAACGATAGGCAATGGTATATGCAATGCAAATGACATGGAAATATTGATATGGGCTGTTAGAACCAACTGAGGGAGCCTCAGCCACACTCACATTAGGATGCCGATGGATGAAATGAAGGTGCCTCGAAATACCGGCACCACGGGCACGACAAACTGAGGCCAATGTATTTACACAATGCTAATGACATGAAAAATATGATTGAACTTAGACAACATGAGGGAGCCCAGCCACACTCACAAAGGAGTGCCGATGGATGAAAATGAAGTGCCTACGAAAAATTGCGTGCACACGAGCACGCAAACCGAGGCAATGGTATACACAATGCGGAATGACATGAAATAGGATATGGGCCTTTAGACCAACATGAGGGAGCCTCAGCCACACTCATCATAGATGCCGATGGATGAAAATGAAGCTTGCTCGAAATGCATGCCACACGGGCACGCAAACCCGAGGCAATGGTATATGCAAGCGAATGACATGGAAAATGGAAAGCAATCATTCTCAATGAATTTCAGCACTAAAAAATATGGGGAAAACAGTCCCGAAATGAGGCGAAAGACCACGCAAATGCATGGAAATAGTCCCGGAAATGCGAATTTATGCACCCGAAATGGCCCTATAGGCTATGCCAACATGCCACGCATATGGACATGTAAATGCAAAAGACAGAAGCTTAGGCCAGTCCCAAAAAAGCACTTATCACAGTTATAAACATGGCCAAACAGCAAGCATAGGGTTAGGCAAAAATGGCAGCAAGAATAGGCCAGAGAGGGTAATGAAAGCAAGTGATAATAAAAGAAAAATCCAAACTGAAAAATTTCCTTCACAACATATTGCAAGAGGACCAAAAATATGAGGTTTACAGTATAGGAATAAGCCTCAAATCAATATACAAACATGCTAAAAAAACGGTACAAGCATTTGAGCCTCAAAAGGTTGCTATAACATGAAGTATACAAAAATATCACTAAACAGAAAAAAATGTTAATGAACATGAAGTATAGGGCCAAAAATAAGCGCCACTTCAGTTCTGTGAAAAAAGCCAAAAACGAAGGCAAGGGGCTGCCAATTTATGCAAAAATGGGAGCCAAATTAAGGGATATAACTACAATTGGCACAGGAGCCATCGATGGTGAGGGGCCCTTCAACAATGTTTGAAGAAGAGCCCAAAAAATAAGCACATTCACAGATTACATCATGCTCAAAAAAAGAGTTACTCAATGGGCCAAAAATATCATGCAAAGATGTATGACATAAGAGGATCAATGAAAGCAAGTAGCATCATGGAGGGCTCAACAGGGTTGAGTCCTTAATGAGAAAGTGAAAAGGGCCTCAAAGAGAAGGCCACTTTCAAGTTATGGGCCGACAGCGGATGATTGGTGGTGTTGGCGGCTCTGAGTGAGGCGTGTGTATGGTGGCAGGAACAATAAGTGCAGTAAATAGGAATAGGCCTCGGTAAGAACGCAAAACATGGATCAAAGTAGAAAGAAAAAAGGAAAGTCGCAAAAGAAGTAACAGGAAGAAATGTCACGTCGGACCTTAGCAAGACCATATCAGAGGAGGGAGAAGAGAGAAGATAGAAAAAAAGATGGCTTGAGAAAGTTGATATGCTGTCATGATTGAACACAAAATAGTGTCTGTTAGCGAGCTTTTAGCCGGCTGAAATTCCTCCTCTTGCTGGCCGAAATGTGGAGCCAGTGGTGAGTGTTAAAGGCATTACTAGACGTTTGCAGTTATAGGTCAAGATAGATGGTTTGGATAGTAAGGATAGAGGAGAGAGAGAAAAAGAGATAGAAAGAGGAAAGGGGGGGAAGGGAGAGGGAACGTATATGAAGGAAGAGAAGGAGAGAACGGAAGTGGGGGTCTAGTTAGGGAGTATGAGGGTAAGAAGTTGTAGATTACTACCTCGACATTTATGGACAGTGGGATGCGAGTAATAATGTTTTATGAGCGAAGAGTAGGATAGTGAGGGTGTACTAGAAGTAAAGATGGGTATGGTATGTGAGGGATTTGTATGGATGCGGTGGGCGGGTGTGTCGGGGATGTTGAGCTGGATTAGGCTAGGTCGCAGTATGGTATCGGAATGGGTGGGGGGTGAGTTATTTGCGCTGGTGGAGGGGACCTATTGTGAATAGAGAATAAGTTATGGTGTAGAGGTGGATAACGTGGATATAGACGATGATAATAAAGGACAGAACATATAGTAGAATAGGTGGGAGGTGAAAGAAGGTAAGTCATAGTCATCGACAGTGGTAACGAGTTGAAAAGAGGTCTTAGATAAGATGGGATAAGTGTTATGAAATCAACGGGGGGAATGCTGAATCGGACTGAGCAAGATTGATATGGAGGTGAAGAGTGGAAGGGGTGGTAGGAGGAGAATGTACAAGGGTAACGGAGAGTAAATAGAAAAAGACACATAAGGAAGAGAAAATAAGGAGAAGAAAAGAACAGAAAATAGAAGAAGGTGAGGGGGCAGACGTACGAAGCGAACGATACATATATATGAGAGCGCTAGATATGTAAGCAAAGCTTAGAAAGACGTGCGTGAGGTATGAGAAGAAAAAACAAAGGTGGAATAAGGAGGACAAACTATAAAGGATGATAAAGGTTTTCTAGGAAAATGAGAGCGAGATGGAGACGATGAGAAGATTATGCTCTGTCAGTTGGTGAAAGCAGGGCCGAGTTGAGGAAACTTAAGAATAAATAAGCAGCCGACGCTTCTAACAAACCAACATGTGTGTGCCTAACCATTAAAAATGATTGAAGATGGGGCTTAGGACTAGCGTACCCAGGGCAAAGCGTGGAAACGCGCGGCCGTACAAAAAAAAAAAGGGGAGGGGGAGCGGTAGTGTGTAGAAAGGGAACGCGCCAGTGTAGGACGGAGGTAAGCGGAAAAGAGAGAGAGGCCACGAATCTTAGCTTTAGCGGCACCTAACGGACAAAAAAGAAGAGAAATGGAGAGTAATGGGATGTGGTCACCGCGTGAACGCGATAATTAGATAGTTTTTAGGGGTTGACTGGCGGAAAGATAAAAAGCCGCTAGGATAACAGCGTGTTAAAGGGAAGAAGCTGAGGAGCGACCAGGTAGACAAGAGACCATCAAGCCACGACAGGTAAAAAGGAAGGTGAGAACAAGTGTGAGAATTCTCGGAAGGAAGAAAACGGAGACTGAAAAGCGATATGAAAAGAATACGCAAGAGGCCCGAAAGAGCAGAGTCCGAGGCCAGTTAATTATTCAGCGAATATGCAAGAGTTGGGCCGAGCAACACGGAAGACCAGAGAAGAGGAGAACCATCCACACCCCGCTAGAATCAGAGGAGAGCAGGAGAAGAGGAGCCGGAGGCCGGGACAATAGCGAGGTTCAAAAACGGGTCAAAAGGCATGGAAGGAGTGGACAGTCATTTATAGTGCAGAATTGGGCCGGCCCACCAACTGTGGTTAGATCGCATCTCATGGTGGTCACTGCGAAACAGCGAACCCTAGTCGGGTTTTATGTGATAAAAAAAGTACCAAAGGAAAGTGGCTCAAGCAAAGAGAAAGAACGATATAAAGAGAACAAGAACTCAACTAACCGTCTGTAGTCGGAGCAAGAGGTACATAGAGAGTATACAACAAACAATTAGCCCGGAAAGGAAGTGAGGTATAGTCACAAAGAGAGGAGGAGAGCAAGGAAGACAGAACGAAGAAAAAAAGAATAAGAGCAGCGAGAAGAGCAAGCAGGAAACGAAATAAAGAGGAAGAGATAGAGGTTCTAGGTGAGAATGTAACTGGCACCGCGACCACCAACCTGTTTCAGGAAGAGAGAGACAGGGGTGGGGTATCCTCCCAAAAGTGTTACATCACAAGGATATGTGGTTCAATAGTTCAAAGAACAAGTGGTAGTGGGGAGAAACACCAAGGTGAGTTTACGGGGAAGAGGGGTGGTGGAATATTGTACGGGTGGTGGCGTAGTGATGGGTGGTAAAAAAAAAAATACTGAAATTCAATACCGTAACACTACATTTTTTAAATTTACACGTTTTTTGGCCAAATTTATAAACTGAGACCACTGATTTATAAATCAAAAATTTACCAAGCAAGTTTTTATTTGAGTTTTTTAAATTTTTGTAAATATAAACTAAAAACTGAAAACGTAAGTGTTACCAAACGGCACCTTAGCAACTGACAGCAACTAATGATCTTGTACAACTTCTATATGTAGATCATGTGGCAGCCATGGGCCACGATGCCAGTGGGGATTCGAGACCAGTTCGCCAGAGCTTGGGCCACCTCCCGCTACCACATTTTACTTGAGGGTCCAGTTTGCTGGGCCTGGTTCTTGAGCGAGCAGTTCGTGCACTAGATCATGGGCCTGCCCGACCCGATCATCCCGATGGCTTCACCAGAGTCCATGCGATCTATAGATAGCCTATCCACTGAGGAGGTCATTCAGTTTATAGTGGGCTTGCACGCCGACTACTTCCGAGTGGAGGGAGATTATGCAGCCTTCATCCAGACACATCTCATGTCGCCTCTAACTGGTGCTCATAGAGGAGAGGAGACGAGTGCTCCTGCTGCGAGAGAGAGGCCTAGAGTGACCCCAGCGAGTAGGGCTCGTGGTAGAGGGGCTTCTCGAGCAAGGCAGAGGACTGATTGGCCAGAGCTTCCGACTGCACTGACTTGCTGGTAGCATACTGGGGACCCCTATCAGGTTCCGATTAAGTCTCCAGCGGCTGGTCACGAGCTTGTCGGGGTCCGAGGCCTGACGTAGGTATGAACCACACTTTACATTTGCACGCCACATTTCATTTCAAATATGTTCATTTGCAGATACTGATCATTCAAACTACATTTACACACATCCATCGAGTATACAGGAGGCACTTTGGAGCTGATAGCCTCCCTAATGGGAATGGTACAGAGGAGAGAGGCATTACTCAGCCTCTACGGTATTCAGGCAACTTCTTCAGTTTTTCATTCCAGGTATCAAATTTCCATTGACACACTGACATTGACATTTCAACTAAAAAACTTTCCAAACTGCACTGATACACTGCATCTAACATATTGCACTTACATACTGTATTCACACACTATATCTGACTGTTGCATACACTCATTCTACATATCATACTTGCATATGATATACATACCGTAACTGACATGTAACAACTGTCTTTTCAAATTCCACCCATACTGATGGCACCAGCGGCAGCTGCAGCACCTGTACCGGCAGTACCTCCTCCAACGGCAGGAAGGAAAAAAGACAAGCTCCGGCACACGGCCAAGGCAGAGCTAGGGACATCCGAGCTGAGAGCGGTCCTTCAAAGTCCATTCTGAGTGATGATGATGCTAAGGCGAGTGACTCTGAGGAGGCAGCGAGTCAGCATTTAGAGTCATCTAAGGGCGGAGATGGTGAAGCCGGTTCGGGTTCTGAGAGTGGAGGTGACAATGCCGAGGAGGGCTATGGAGCAGAGAGTGGAGATGACGCCTGCTCGGGTTCTGGTTCAGATTCAGATAGCGGTGCTAACGGAGACAGTGCCCCTATATTTGTATTCTAAGGAAGGGGACGAAAGGGGCTTCTCGAGCCTGAGACTACCAGTGTTGATTTTTGTACTTTTGCTTAGTTTCTTTTCTTTTATAGCATTAGCACATTATAGCTTCAGGCAGGTTTTATTTGCTTTAAAACTTGTACTCTGCTTTTGTAAAGACAACCATGATCGAAATAAAACCGGTAGTTTTATGAAAAAAATGTGTTGTCATTTTTTGTTTGTTTATTTGTTTTTTTTTTTTTTGTTTTTTTTGCATCATGAGCACCACATATGCATGAAATGGATAGGGAATTGAAATGGCCAAGAGCACTATTGATTGAAACAAAGTCTTAATAGGGTAATGAAACGACCAACAACTGACATAAAAAGCAATATACAACTCGATAAACAAACATCATACAACTCGATAAACGAAACAAGACAACACAACTGCAATTTGATAAACAAAACAAAACGACACAAATACAACTCAACAAATTGGCTAGAACCAAAAAGGACTCAAAACAAGACTTTAAGACACTTGAAGATCAAAACAAAACATATGCTTTCAGCATTCTTCAGCATAAAGGAGGACAACAGGTCAAAGTGAGAAACTGCCGGCCACAAATAGGGGTTGCTGGCTACATGCTAGCCATGAGAGATGGTCTGCCGGCCACCAATGTACTTTACCGGCCACCAATGGGACTTGCCGGCTACCTGCCGACCATCAATGTGCAGGACCTCCAGATTGTTGACACCTGGCCTCCACTCACTGCCTTATCTTCTACAAAAGGTTGAGCTTCGTGATTTCTTTATTTCAACTTCAAATTCTTCACAAATAAAGCCATTTTTCGTCAAAAAACTCTCGAATTGGATTGCGACTTTAGACAGCTTGGAAAAGATGAATTTCTAGGGTTTTAATATAAATGCACTTTTCCCGCTGTGCCGTTCTCTGTTTTGTTTTCCATTCCTTCATGTCGCAGCTAGATGTTGGAACCCGATTATACATGTCTTTAGCTTCGAGAGACAAGAGATATGCTTGAAAATCGAAGAATTTCAAATGCTAACGGAATCCCGACGCGATGAGGAAATCATACCTCAGCCCCGTTTCGGCCACATCCAGGCTTTGGGATAGATGTGCTAGCTTACTCTGTATGAGGTTCGGTCCTTGGTTCACAATGGAGAGCTGGATATTCCCAGTCTAATTCATCGATTTTCCGAGGTCGGTGACCGAGGCGACCTTCTTTAGCGGGGTTTTAGGCAACACGCTCTTTGCTTGTGCATGCTGGCACATTTCCTTCTTGTCCCTAGTTTTGGCGAGTCTAACATTCGACTGATTAAAGTGGCCCAAGGTTTGAAAGAGGGCAAGAGTTGCATTGGCTTAGTGCTGGCCGAGACTTTGATGGGCTTAGACGCCTTCCATCAGCGCGAGATGACAAAATTCGCAAGGAGTCCACTACTTCTTTAGGTAATGTTTCCCGCCCTTTCTTATATGTGTTTCTCACATCTCTCGACACTTGTGCTCTGTTTTTCTCTCAAAGCCCTTTTCTCACTTTTCTCTCAACATACATCTCTCTTTTCTTTCATCCCTTCCCATGCATGGCTAATGGACAAGTTGAAGGTAATGGACTCTTGTCCTGCATACTCAGCTTGAGGCTATTTCTTCCGCCGACAGCTAGTGGATTTCCCGAATGAGGGATGGTGGTGCAACTGGATGTCCAACAGGTCTATTGTTGACATTACTTGGCGTTGCCTATGGCTTAATCTAACCAAAATAAGCTACAGCATGACTCGGCAACCTGGCATTCAGCTGATCAGCCTGATACACTGTGTATTCTACTTTCCTTTCCGGTTCAAACATCAGTTTGGACATGATCAGACTTGCCCAGAGGAGGGGGTAGAGTACCCAGTTTCGTTCCCCATCCGAGGTTCACACTTGGCTAGGTACCTCACTGCTTGGAGGACAAGAGAACTTCTGGCCCCTGCCCCTAGTTTTAACTACGCCCTTTCTGGCGAGTGCCTGGCTTGGCTCAAGGATGAAGTGCAAACCAGGCCCATTTTGGCCTTAAAAGCTTCTACAAGTACGAGCAGGAGACACAAGAACACCTGATTCATCTATGCCCCTAGTTTATTGCTTTGATCTTTACTTTTCAAGATTTATGAATGTAATAAAAGCAACTTTGATTTGTATCGAGAGTTAGAAAACTTTGTATTGAAATCAATGAAATTAAAGTTGTGAACACTGAAAATTCTCCTTTTGGTCCAAAGATGGTCTAAGTTGTAGAAGGTGAAATTTGAGCAAAGTCAAATTTTATCAAAACTTTTCAAAATCATTTTCGATAAGGATTATCACTTGACACGCGCAAAATCTATCCTCGAGATGTACACCCCCGGATCCAAAGATCACAAATTGCCTCTTGACTGAGTAGCACTGCTCAGCACTATAACCAGCTCTTCTCTCAGTGTAGAGATGACAACTGAACTTTCAGATGAAGAAGAGACAAAGATGACCTGATCAAACATATGGACATGACAGTTGAGTTGGAGGTGTTTAAGGCTGAACTTCAAAATGAAGTTGCCTATGTATCCCGAAGATGGGAATCAGGCCATACATAGTTCGGTTCGGGTTCACTCGAGTATTAACGCTCTCCTTTTGCGCTTTAACTTTTGCGAAGGCCGCCTTTTAGGGTTTTCAACCATGCGAGCTCAGTTTTTATTTTTTTCTAATTTTTTGTGCTCTAACTTTTGCCTAGGTCCCCTTTCTGGGTTTTCAGCCTAGCGAACCTCTCAGGGATAGTATTTCTTCAACTTGTCCATGTTGATCGGTTGGGAAAATTCTAGGCCATCCAGGTCCATGAGAATAACAGCTTCACCCGACCAGATAGTTTTGATGAAGTAAGGACCAGTTCAATTGGGTCTAAACTTGCCCCTAGGGTCATTGATGGGAGCTCGGTTGTCTTTTAGCTCCAAATCTCCTTCTTTGAGATTCCTCGACTTAACCTTCTTGTTAAAAGCCCTAGCAATCCTGCGTTGATAACCCTAAACATGGTACAATGCTTTCAGCCTTCTCTCATCAAATAGTATTAGTTTTTCGAACTTGCTCTGTTACCAGTCCGCCTCTGCTATCTGACACTCAGCCATAACTCGCAACGATGGGATTTCTATTCTGATTGGCAGAACAACTTCTATCCCATAGACAAGAGAGTAAGGACTTACCCTAGTAGACGTTTGGATTGAAGTTCTGTAGCCCCAGAGTGCAAACGGCAATTTGTCTGGCCAATCCCTATAGGTTTCAACCATCTTTTGCAGAATATGCTTGATGTTCTTGTTGGCGGCCTCAACAACTCCGTTGGTTTGCGGCCAGTATGTGGATGACTTATGAAAAGCCACATTGTATTTTTCTAACAAGTCTATCACTTCCTTCTTGAAGTGGAAACCATTATCTGAAATGATCTCGTTTAGGACTTATATCGGCAAATGATGTTGTTTCAGATGAACTTAGCCACATGCGCTGCTTTCAACATTGCATAAGACTGAGCTTCTACCCATTTTGTGAAGTAATCAATTGCCACCAGAATGTATTCATGTCCATTCGACCCTTTCGGTGTGGCTGCGCCGATGACGTCGATTCCCTAGATGAGAAAGGCCATGGTGAAGTCATGTTGTACAGCTTTGATGGCGGGATATTCATGCGATTGGCATGAATTTGGCATTTGTGGCATCGCCGAACAAAACCGATACAATCCTCCTCCATAGTGGATCAGTAGTAACCTTGTCTAAGAATCTTCTGAGCTAACATTACTCCGTTCATGTGCGCTCCGCACTCTCTCCCATGAATGGCCTCCATTAGGCACTTTGATTCCTTTGCGTCGACACACAATTTGTGCATTCCCAGATGACCCCTCTTGTACAGTTTACCTCCGCAGATGATAAATTGAACGGCCATCCATTGTATTGCCCTCTTATTTTTGGCATTTGTCCCTGGTGGATAAACCTCATTTTCCAAGAAGTTCCAAATATCATAGAACAAAGGGTTTTGATCTTGAGCTTCATCTATTGCGGCAATAGTCTCGTAGGTCGGCATATACCTTTGCTTAATGATGATCAGACGCATCCGGACTCCAAGCGGGATGTCTATTATAGATGATAGAGTTGATAAGGCATTAGTGAACCTGCTGTTCTCTCTTAGTAAATGCGTGAAAGTTAGCCTCTCAAACCTAGGAATCAGAACTTCCAGGGTCTGGTGATAGATCTTCACATTTTCTTCTTTGACCTTCCAGTCTCCATTTGTTTGAGACACAACTCGGTTCGAGTCCCCGATTTTCAAACCAACGATACAAGCCTCGTATTCTGCTTCGTTATTGGATACCTTGAATCGAAGTTTGAAGGCTAAAGGTATATGGGAATTGTCGGGTGCTATTAGCAACACTCCTATCCCATAACCATACTAATTTGACGCTCCGTCGACGTACATTGTCAAATTTCTTTCTCAACTTGCATAATAACTTCATTTGGAAACAGGTATTTTACTGCTTCATCCCCTTCCACTGGGTGATCTTCCAGGAACTCTGCTACTGCTCTCCCCTTGACCGACTTGCGAGTGACATACTTCAGACCAAATTCAGAAATGAGAAGCAACCAACGGGCTATCCTACCCGTAAGCACTGGTTTCTAGAAGAGATATTTGATGGGATCTAATCTCGAAACCAAAATTACAGAGTGAGCTAACAAGTAGTGCCTCAACTTCCTGGTAGCCCATACCAAGGCTAAGCAAGCTTTCTCCAGCGGAGTGTAGCGGGTCTCATAATCTAACATTTTCTGGCTCAAATAATAGATGGCTTTCTCCACCCTATCCTCAGATTCCTGAGCAAGCATACATCCCATCGTTGTGTTTGAAACTGATAGATACAAAATCAAGGGCTTCCCTGGCTCTGGCGGTGACAACACAGGTGGATTCTGAAGGTACTGCTTGATCTGCTCAAAAACAAACTGACATCGATCATCCCATTAGAATTTCTTTCCTTTCTTTA